GAGAGAGAGAGAGAGAGAGAGAGAGAGAGAGAGAGAGATAGATAGATAGATAGATAGATAGATAGATAGATAGATAGATAGAGATAGAGATAGATAGATAGATAGATAGATAGCGCTCTTGCTCGCTGCTTTTGTTCTGAAGGGACATGCCGGATGTATATGTGAGCGCAACTTCCGCCTTTCTTCAGATCATGCTATGCTCATGGCCACGTCTGCGTTACACCGTGCTGCCGAATTGTAGTGATGGGACGATGATACCTCAAAGAGTGTATTGACCCACTTCACAAACTATGTCAGCGCTGTATTGACACTGTGTTGGTCACCCAATAGTGACCCCTGCAGTAGTTATAAAATCATTGCAGGTAAAGAAATTCCTTGTTTATATAAATGTTAAACTGAGTTGGTATGTAAAATACAGCAAATTTGAGTTACAATTCAGATTTTTAACTGCCGTAGAAAATTTATGTTAAATCATGTGAAATAAAAGACAAAAAAGTGATTAGTTTATGAATTTTTATTGAGGAACAAAAGTTTTTGGAGTGTCTTTGCTCCAAGGCAATTTCTCCTCTGAGACACCAGTTCCCCAGCCTCAGAAAATACTCTTTCACATGGCTCAGATGACGATAGTGAGCAGAGAGTTTTAAATGAAAGTTGATGCAGATGTGGATATGTTTTCTGGTTCCATTTCCAATATTGTAAAGGGTCTTGTTTTCTGGGTGTGTTTGCTTCTGACAGGCAGCGTTGGACTTCAATTATGGAGGATCTCGCAATTATAAGATAAAATGAATAAAGCAACTGTCAGGCTTTTTCACTGACAGGTCATTCACTTGATGAACTGATAAAGTGGGTGCAATGCGCCACCGTAAAAAAAATTGTATATAACAGTAAACAATGCTCAAAGGAGAAAAAGATTTACCAAGATCAAAATTATTCCACACTGGGGAAAACTTCTTAGAACGATCCATAATTTCGCAAAGCTCCAGCCAACAAACCCACGACATGTTGATACAGTTTGTGTCCTTATAAACGCACTTTGGCGCAGCATATTCAAACGAGTCAGTTCCTGTATTGGTCACGTGATTCTTTCTTAAAGCAATACACGCACCGATACGGGGTTTCACGCTTGAGCTCTCGGCACTGTGCTGACGCACCAGTGTCGCTCATCCCATCACTACCGAATTGTTCTGGCAAGAGAATAAATCATAGATGGCAATGGCGAGTGATGAAAAAAGCGGAAGGGGCGTGGCCGAGACGGGGGCGTGGCCGAGACGGGCGTGGTCTGGTCGGGGGCGTGGTCACTTACAAAAGTGGCACTAAAGATGCTGAAGATGAAGTGTATTGAATTTACACACAATTTGAAAATTGAACAGAAAAAAATCCCAAGATCGCCACTATTCTTCAAGTGAAAATTTGTGCAATTTTGCCTATGCATTCCTGGTGAGCACCAATATGTAACTCCAAATTTGCTGCTCAAAATCA